CACATACACACACCAGGCAAATTCCCTACCAACTAAACCACATTTCCAGAGTTTCCAGCTCTTGGTTTTCTGAGGTCTTGCTCTGTCGCTCAGGCAAGCCTCCAAGTCATAGCCTTCTGCCTCAGCTAACTGGGTACAGGGATTACAGGTACGATGGGCCAGAAAGTAGGGATTTTCGTCTGTTCTGCCTGCTGTTGCCAGATCTGGTGGATGTGACCAACTCCTGAAAACTGATGGCTTCTTTCTTTCGCTTCCTCCTGCTGTGGATCTACACGTGAGGACCCCAATGCCACAGAAATGGGTTTTAGAAGCTAAAGTTGGAAGAAAGGGAGACCCATCAAGAAAGAAGGCCACTTGCCTAACACCTGCTCCATGTCATGGATTCCGCAAGGAGAATGGAGCAAGATTTGAGAAATCAGGAATGGATTGAATAATTTTGCCTCTTGCCCCTTTGAAACCAGTCCGAAGCTTCTGCCATGCGTGTTGGTTTCTGAGGTGAGGAATCTGAAGAGGCAAAGTTTGGACAAGATTGCTGTAGGAAGGAAAAGTTTTTGAGGTCGAAGTCCTGGAAGCCCAGGCTGGCAGAGAGCAGGGATCTAGTTCATCCGTGCTGACGCGTTCTTCCTCCGTCATTTCCTGGCGGTCTTATTTACACTCAGTCTTTGTCATAACCAGTATTTCGTCCTCCACACTGGAGCGCAGCACAGAGACCCCTTCCAGGTTGCAGAGGGTGACTAAGGAAGAGGAAGACAGGAAGGTGGTAGGTGGGTGGGACAGTGAAAGCCAGGAATTAACACAGGGTCTCTATTCAGAACATTTAAATTCAGGGATTTGGATGCTTTGGAAATGGAAAAAGGTTGACTTTGAAAGGGAATTGTGTCTGTAGGATCCCACCTACTGAGGGAACGCTTCAAAACTAATTGAAAACCCATTGAAATCCACACCTTGCCTCATTCCCTCTGGTGGTGCTGGCCTTCCTCAGCAGGCGTGGTTACCTGTTTGAAAACAAACTGACCTTGTACACAGTTTTGCTGTAGTGCCTTCCACAAAAATCAAATAAATCAGGTTAGAAGTCTGTTGACTATTGACCCTTCTCTCCCATTTACTGAGTGTATTTTGACGATGTGGTCTAAAATCAAGCTACAGACAATTATTAGAGGAAACAGAATACTTCTAGGCATGGTGAAAGGGGGGGGGGAGCTTTTTGTTAAGGAAAAAAAAAGTCCCTTAACGTAATCTATTTTTGTAATATTCCCAAAGCAGAAGTGAGAAGGGATAGAGTTAAGATTCCTTTCTTTGGTCATCTGTGTGCGACTCAACACTTGGGGAAAAGCAAAATTAAGAGAAAGGAAAGTAAAACCAGAAGCCCCAAAGATGGACCGTTTGTTTACATTTTCTTCACAGAACTTCAAAGCTCTAGATAGCTGCCATTCCCTTGATTTTGATAAGAGTGTTTTTGACCTATTGCTCAATAATACTTAACTGAGTCCTTCTTCTTGAGTAGAAAAAAAAAAGCTTGACTTTGTCCCCTGAATTTAACCATAAAGAACAAAGGCACCAGCCTAACATTAAAAGGGAAGGGTACACAGCAGAGTCTAATATTCTCTGAGTTTTTCAGTATCTTCACCTATGTTAATGAATTTAAGGGTTCTGGGGCAGGCAAAAGAGCACTTGTTGCTCTTTCAGAGGATTTGGGCTGAGTTTTCAGCACTCACAGACAGCTCACAACTGTCAAATCTCCAGTTCCAGGGAATCCAACATTCTCTTCTGGCTCTTCAGGTAAGCTGGCAGGCAAATGGTGCATAAATATACAAGGAGGCCTGGCACCCATACACATACAACAAAAACAAACCTGTAAAAATGCTGGAGGACTTCTAATGTAGCACTGGGGATATAGTTCAGCTAGTGGAGAGCTTATCTGGCATCCATGAGGTTTTGGAAGCACCACAGATACAAGGAATAGTGGTACCTGCCTGGAATCCCAGCACTCAGAAGGTAGAGGGAGGAAGGTCACAAGTTCAAGGTCTTCCTCTGCCATGTGAAGCCCTAGTCAAAAAATGGGGGGGGGGTGCTTTGGCATGGTGGCACATACCTTTAGTCCCAACACTGAAGAGGCAGAAGCATGTGAGTTCAAGGCCAATCTAGACACATAGTGGGTTCCAGGATAGTCAGAGCTACTTGGTGAGACCCTGTTTCTAAAACAAAGGCAGGGTGGGGTGTTGAATACTCATTAAATAAATCTACTGAACTAAATCTTTGAATACTTTTCAACATTTCTTTGTAAAGACCTCCACTTTACTAAGGAATTAATTTTTAAATTTTTTTAACTTTATTTTATGTATATTGGTGTGAAGGTGTTAGATCCCCTGGAACTGGAGTTACAGACAGTTGTGAGGTGAGCAGTCATGTGGGTGCTGGGAATTGAACCTGGACCTCTGTAACTGCTGAGCCATCTCTCTAGCTCTGAAATAGACTTTTTTGTGTGTGTGTGTTTTGTTTTTTGTTTTTTGTTTTTGTTTTTTGCGACAGGGTTTCTCTGTGTAACAGTCCTAGCTGTCCTGGAACTCACTCTATAGACCAGGCTGGCCTCGAACCCACAGAGATCTGCCTGCCTCTGTCTCTTGAGTGCTAGGATTAAAGGCGTGAGCTACTACCAAACGAATGAAATTTAGTTTTTTAAAAATTATTTCTTTTGGGTATGGGAGACTGGAAAAAATTTCAGAGCAAGTCTCCCCTTACCTTTTATTACTTCTTCTTTCCTCAAGCCCTCTTAAACGCATATTTCTGGACAAAAACAGGGTCCTCTGTTTAAATTTTCTTGATGGATAATCCTCTGGCTGAGTGTTTCCTCTTCCCTGGACAGGTCTTAGCTGCTCTCAGTACCAAATTCCTCTCTGAGGAAACAAGAGAGTACGTGGTCCTCTCTTTTTAGCTCCTTCCTCAGGACCTTCAGGTTGATGTCTCAATATTATTTTGAACGACAAGGACAGATGTTTACCCGGCCCCTGAGAAATAGCTCGAACTCTTGTTGCAGGTCACAGGGAAGTCTTGAGGAACTCTCCTTTCAACTGAGGCAGGACTTTTGGACCCAGGGGATCTTCCTAAGATCACCAAGGATCTAGGTTCAGTTCCCCGGGAGTCGCTTTCCTCTTCCCACTCCACCCCGGAGTCGTGAGTTTGCTGAAGCACGCGGTTCACTCCAGCCAGCTCTGAAGCTGCCTGGTTGGTGGTAGAGCCAGGAGAAAAGCCCACAGGTCCTGTGGACCTGGTGAAAAGGATATTTCCTTAAAAGCACACACACACACACACACATACACACACACACACACAGAGGCATGCACGCTCATGAACACACATGCACGCACATGCACACACACAGGCATGCACACACGCACGTGCATGCATACACACACACACACACAGGCACACTCGAACACACATCTCTACCCCCACCACCCCTTACACATACCTTGCAGTTCCAAGCTTCATAGATGAGCTTGTTGTTTGAGGAAATGGAAACAGAAGAATGGTGAATTACTTGAAAATTTGCTTCCAGCAACAGGGAAAGGTATTTTTTTCATGATCTTTGGCAGGCATGGAGAAAAATTCCTGCGCTAGAAGAAGACGTTGATCCCAAACCATCATTGCCTTTAGATATCTCCTTTCATTCCCACAAAGATCTCACGTATCCTAGGCTGGATTTGAACTTAAATTGTGGCTGAGAAGCCCTTGAGCTGCCTTCACCTCCTGACTGCCAGTATTACAAGGATTTGTCATCATATCTGGTTTTATTTTTTGCAAAAAAACACCTTGATGATCATCTGGGGCGGGGAGGGGGAGGGGTCTTTGTAGGCATGTGCCTTCTTAGGGCTTGTACTCATTCCTCCTCTTCTTCACTTCTTCATTTTTTTCAGACAGGGTTTCTTTGTGTAGCCCTGGCTATTCTGGAACCAGGCTGGCCTCGAACTCAGAGGTCTGTCTGCCTTTGCCTTCCGAGTACTGGAAATAAAGACGTGAGCCTTCCAACTTTTTGAAGCCTTCTTGAGCTAAGCAATTTGCACCTCTTTTCCTACAAGTCGTTCATCCAACACTTGACAGTATTTTCCTTGTTGTTCCCCGGAGCTTCCTTTTTCACTTTTAAAAATTAATTTATCATTTTGTGTATTTGAGTATTTTGCTTATATGCGTGTCTGTGCACCACACGCATGCCTGGTACCCGAAGAAGCCAGAAGAAGGCATTGGATTCCCTGCAGCTGGAGTTGCATAAGGTTATGAACTGGGAATTGAACCCTGGTCCTCTAGAAGAGCAGCCTGTGCTCTTAAACACAGAGTCATCTCTCTACCCCTAACCCAAAGCTATTTTTATCTTTATTTCTTCTTTTTCTCTCTTTTTGAGAGAAGGTCTCTTCTTTATTTTCAAAATTTTTATATCTATTTTTTTAAAAAAAGAGAACAAATTATCTATTTTTTATTATACAGACCAATCCAAGTTCCCACACCCTCTCCTTCCATTTTCGAGAGAGGGTCTCTTTATGTAATCTTGGCTGGCCCAGAACTCACAAAGATCCACCAACCCAGTCTTCTGAATGCTGGAACTAAAGGTGTGCACCACCCTGCCAGCTTCCAAAGTTTTCTTTCTCAAGAGTAATACCCATTTCCAGTATCTCCATTTGTTCATCCCGAGACCTAACTAACTCCTGGGCCCTTCCCCATCTCCCCCTCCCTCCCTTAGTTAATATTTCCCACTCAATGAAATGTCTAGAAGTGAACATAAAATAAAAACTGTGATAAACGCAGCTGAAAGTTGAGTGGGAATATATACATCTCCTTTGATCTGGGTACTGTATTTCTGTTGACGGGAGTAAGACAGCCTAGGCAGGGAAGGGCTAAGGGGCAGGCTGGTGACGGGAAATGGGAGGACTTCTCCTGCAAATCATGTCCGTCTGCTTGACCTCTAGGGCGACATCAGTCACTGATATACCATCCTTAATCCACACAACTCCCAAGCTCAGGGCGAGAGCTGCCACATCAGCAGCCATCTGCGAGGGGAGCAAACCCTGGATGTGTGGTCTCCGTAAACCGTGAGAAGGAAAAGGTGGGCAGATGCCAGGAGACGATGCAGAGGGCTGGGAAGAAGCAGCCTTGTGATCTCCCGGGATAGCAGCGCAGGTGACCCAGCTGGGGCAGCCCTTCAGTTCCATTCTCCTTCATCACTGCTGGCCAGGTAATTCCACTTCTCTCCTGACTGTTTGCCCTGACCTCCCTTTTTGGTGGTAGCTGGTGTTATTTTTGTTATCATTGTTGACGCGATGGACATTTATGGAGCACTTCGCTGGGAGCTCTTATTCGTCGCCGCATCTCGGGGAGGTCAGCGGGATCATTACTCTCACTCTGCACACGAAGAGCCCGAGGCACAGAGAAAATAAGTAACGCGCCCACGATCACATCTATCTGAAAAACAACATATCATTTTCTTTGTCTGCCTCTGGTCCTCAAATGTTTACATAAATTCACACATGTGGAATACGCAATGTGTTCAGGATGAAGGATTCTCTTCCCACCTTGCCCCGTTCTCAACTACGCCCGCCCACGGCTATCAGGCCATTGTGTGTCTTGGGGTCTTAGGTCACTGCCTCCTCCTGTTCCTTTCCAAGTAGATTTCCCCAAAAGCCAAGAGCTTCAGCTTCATCAAGGGCTTGGCCCTTCCTAGATCACCCATAGAGGCTGAGAGTTTCTACAGATTGAATCCAAGTCATATATTTGTTGATTGGCAGATTTTGTGAAACTGTTGTTTGGGTATGGTGGGGGTCTTGTTGTTGGGTGGTCTTCTCCAAGTTAGGAAGAATGCAGGCACTTGGAACCTAACTGATCGTGGCTGTCTCATATTTGTACCGTATATACACTGAGCCAGAGAAAATGGTATCTGAGAGTTTAGAGTGCATGTGTGGCTCAGGGATAGAGTAGTTGCTTAACATGTGTGAGACATGCCCTTGGTTTGATCCAGAGAGAGAGAGAGAGAGAGAGAGAGAGAGA